CCACCACCATTTGGATCAGATGATTCATTATTTTTTTGTGTAGCCGATGCAGACATATTGATTGCAGCCGAAAATGGATAAGTGTAAGCCTGTTCATTTTTGTTGTCATCATCTGAAGTGCGCATTACTTCAACAATCCGATTCTTAACATAGTCTAAAGGTGATAAAGGTATATCCGCTTGAGTTGGATAAAAGCGAACTCGACTGTTGTCATCCTTCATTTGCTGTTCAAATTCTTTCTGTTGTAAAGCACGGCGAAGCTTCCAAGTATGAGGCTCAAAGCCTGCAGCTAACATATTATTAAAGGGATATTCTTTAAAAGGATGTTCCTGTGGATATGGTTCTCCTGGACGACTCATTTCTGGGCTACCCCGGGGTTTTAAATTTTGTTTTTCATTTGCTTCTGGGAATGACTATAATAATATTTTAAATAATTTATAAACATTTTGAAGTTAAAGACATTCAAGTAGTAAATAATTTTTTTTTTAAACTCACTTGAAATAACTTATCACCAGCTCGTTGCTGTTGAACGTGTGCCTGATTGTTGACTGGAACAGCATTAGGAGGATGTCCAGTTCCATCATTACTCTGATTTATTTGATGTGTGATGATAGCATCAATTAAATTAGCTGCAGTTAAAGCATGGGGTTCTGTACTTTGTCTTGAAACTCTACCACTACCAGCATTGTCCCTACTGAAAAAAAAGTACTTGTTAGACATTGAAATAATATCTATAATTGTCATATTGGTTCACAAAAAACAGAAATTAGATATACTTTTGAATATTGGATGGTGGTTCTTGGTGCCTCGATACTGGAGTATTTGATCTTGATTGTTGGAATGAAGATACAGTAGAAGGTATTTGCATTACCCTCGGTTGTTCTTGCTGCCGTTGCTGTTGTTGTTGTTGTTGTTGTTGAAACGAAGCAGCGACCATTCTTGAATGTTGTTCAGGAGTAAGCCGATGATGCATCATTTGTTTATCCCTCATATACTGATCCCTTTGCTGCTGTTCTCTAATTTGTGCAACTGCTTGCATTTCTCGCTCTCTTTGCACAGCTAATTCGCGTTCTCTTTGCATGTGCTCGTGTCTTTGTTGTTCTCTGTACATATGCGGTTTTGGTACTGGAGAACCTCTTACATAACGATCTTGTTCTCTGTGTCTATCTTCAGAATGATTTAAAGGCACAGGTAAGCTAGGCTGTCTTATAGCAACATCAACCAAAGATCCTAGTGCTTCATGTCCTGGAGGATAAGTTTGTGGAGATGCTGCTTTAGGAGCTGTGTTATGACGTTGTATTACACCTTGACGAGTTGGTTGATAATACATCGGACTAGTAACTGGAGGTTTCTGAACTCGAGGAAATTGAGCAGCAACATTAGAATGCATTTGCTGTGAAGTAATATAGTCATTCATAATGATTTGTCTTTGCTCACTATAATGGGGCTGCCTTGATTGATATTGAGGCTGAGGATTGCGTTTTTGATAATAGTCTGCATTCATATTTTGATTTGAATTGTGTAACATACGTTGGTGAACAGGAGTACCTTGAGTAATAGAACCACCAGGAGCTTGTGAAGGCTGAGAATAACGGTTAGATTGTGGTGGCATGTATAAAGTTGCAGCTGAGACAGGAGTACCATGCATGATAGATCCAGTTGCTTTTGAGTTATTCAATATGTTAGGAGATAACTTAGATGAAACAACGTTTGCTACAGATAATTGAGGTGATGTAACCTATTAATATAGAAAAAAAATTGTTTAACCAACTTTAAGCGAACAAAAATTACAAATTCTTATAATCAAACCTTATTGGGTAATTTTATGTGCGATGTTTGTTTAACAGTTACATGGGGAATTGACTGCGATGGATGAACCATGACATGATTATTGGCTGGTGATATTTTTGTCCAATATATTTCACCTTGCTTGCCACTTCGTCCCAATTCAGCATACTGAAATACGTTTGCAATATAATATGATTCTTTACAAATTATAAACTAAAAGTTACCTGAGGAGAATAAAACGTATTTGTTTCATGAATTTGTGTGGGAGGAGTTCTATACATTGCACCAGGTGGTGGTGGAGGTTGTGCATGTTTAATTGGCGGAGGATCAGAATAAGAATCTCCTTCTCTGGGTCTTTTGATACTTAAATCAAGAGTTACACCTTCGGGAACTCTAACTTCAGACATTTTAGAAGATTGTACTTGAACAACTACTAAACCATCTTTGTTGTGAAGTTCACGAGGTGGTGTGGGAACCACTGATATTGTGGCCATTGACTGTTGTTTGTTTTCATTATTGCTAGATCCTGTATTTCTATCTTTGATTGGATATTCAGGATCCAAAAGTATGGATGATATGGTAGGCATAGATCCATTCTCTTTCTATATATAAATAAATAAATTTAAAAAATATGTAAATATATAAATAGAAAGCACAAAAAAAAAATAGTAATAGAAATGTCAAGATTTTTTACCTCTCGATTAGAATGTTCTTTTGTAAATTGTTTTTCAATTACGTCAGATAAAATATCTGATACACTTAAATCAGTAACAATCTTTTCTTTTTTCTCAGATTCATTATTGGAATGTTGCAACACATTAGACTCATTTTCAGCTGTACCTCCGATTCCTTCATCTGCAGTTTCAGTAGCTGAACTATCATAATCTTCTTTGACAATAGTAGATCGAATAGAATTTTCACTATCACGAGACTCTTTAGCAGTCAATTTTGGTTGTGGCGGACTTGTTGTATCACGTGGAGGAGATAATTGTGGTAAAGTATTTGTTGGTGAAGGTGCACTTTGAGTATCACTGTCACACAAAACAAGGTTAGTCTCATCACAACTAGAAGTGCTTGAACCTGACTCTTCTTCATCTGTTAGAGCAGGCTTTTGTTCACTACCATTTGTCTAAAAGAATAGATCAGACATTTTATAGATTTTTTTTTTTAAATTTGGAATTTGAAATTTAATAAAAATAATATATTTTACCTTTTTATACTCCTGTACTAAAAGGTCTAAACCTAGCTTTTTTCTGAAGCTAAAATAAAATTCTTTGCACTGGTAGTGGCTTTTATTTTGCCCAACTAATTTACTTATTTCACTCCAACGAGTACCATGTTCTCGAATTCCTCTCTTTAATGCATTAGTCTCTTCATCGGTCCAGCCATCTAAAGTATCAGTACTAATATTGTTTGATGTTCCTACAACTCCAAGTGCCATTAATCGTCTTTGGATACGATTAAAGCAAGCTGAACAACATTTTGTTGTTGTTGGACCAATTTCTAAACAAAATATAAATGCTTTAATTTAAAATAATGGAGCAATAAAACTATTAACTTACGAAATTCTGAAGCAATAATATCTTGAGCAGTATTCCATTTTGCAGGTAATGGGCGTAATCTTTTGACTGGTCTTCTATTATTAGACTGAACAGTAGGGCAGGATGGCAATGGACAATATATTACACGACGATTTTGGGATCGAACCACTTTACAACGGCAAGTATTACAAACTCTAGCACCAGGAACAATATCTTCTGGCTTCACACCATATTGTGCTGCATCTGATGGATTAAGAGTCCTAGGGCATGCCACATTTTCTGCTTTACAAACCGCACACATACCTTTAGGTACATCTCCTTTTGACCCAGTTTCATCTATAATCATATATCACTAATAAAATAAATGCATAGATTGATGGCTGTTTTAAACTAATTTAACTAATAAATGAGAAATTAATATTTTTTATACCTATCAGTGTATTATATATATTTTCTGAGGTTATTTATTTTAATAACTAATTTAACCTTTTATAACAAAAACTACAAATCAAGTTATGTCGTAGTATAGAAATTATACCTAGTGACTATTATAGTGTATAATTTATAATGATTACCAGAATATTATAAATTATGAAATATTTTAAATGCAATCATAATTAAAACCGTATTAAAAGATAAATTCTACAACACAAGTTATATAGAAACTATTTCTTCAAAATCGTTTCAAAAAAAATGTAAACTAAATAATTGATTTATTTAGAACTAACGCGATAATAAATAATGATTAGTTCACACGTTTTGTATATTTAATTCCCACATTTAAATCTTATGTTGATGTTGGAAAATGATTGCATACTGACATACATATGTTAAATAAATGACTATTTAAAAAAAATATTTTAATTAAAACTGTACATTTAAGAGCCATTGTATACTCTTCTTAAATAATAGACATTGGGTGGCGGCTATACCCTATAGCAAATTCGAATTTTTTTTACAATTGGTCAGAGCAAAAAATTGGTCGATTGTAAAAATCTCAGCCAAATCATAGCTAGGTGGTTATTGACATAATAAAGTGATGCTACATAACGCATTACACTTGGTGCATGTTAGACAGACTAATTTCTGCCACCATAATATGCAGAATCCTATTTCTGAACCTAATCTTATATGAGGGCATTACACAGAGTATGATTTATTCTTTGTTATCTTTAATTTCTATTATTAAAAATTAAAAATATAAAATACATTAATAAAAAGTAATTCACTTTTTAATGTTCACTTGAGGTAGTAAACACTGCACCATAAATTAATTCCCTAGAGAGTAGGGAATACTACAATCCCCCAACCGTAGAAACATTTGTGTTAGCAGTGCATAATTGAACAGACTTCTCATATTCCAGAGGGTATAAAGCTAATTGAAGAGTATAAATTGTTGAGTAAATAATTTTTCATTTTCACAGTTTGCCAATTTAATTTAATAGGTATTTAACATTTTTGCTGATATGCAAAAACTAAAATAATTGAGTGCATATTCTTTTAACTAATTAATGAAGTTAATGTTGTTTTTAATCCCTTGAGTCTTAGAAAACTTTTATGCTTGGAAAACTATTAATTAATACTGTAACACTTAAATAAGCTCAGTAAATAATGTAAATAATAAATTATTACAACATTTAAATATCTATTAGGAACATAATTTCCCCCAAGTAAAATAATAAAATATAATATGTAAAAATCATTTTATAATTATATAAAAATAACAATGTTTAAAATAAAGATTTACTTGAATGCACATCATAATACTGAGAAATATAACATTTAATATTTAAATGTATGTGTATTATTCATCAAACATTTTTAACTTTTGTAAATTGCTTTGTACTATTTGAATAATATAAAATGTAATAATTGTACATTCAAGAAATCTTATTCTTTCTATTGTATTTAAAATATTATGTTATCTAATATTTATTTTTAAATACTGATAGAATATAATTTGAATACCCTAATTAATTAAAGGTTAAAGAAATACTCATGGGAAAACAAGATAAACAGAGGGTACATGGATAACGAGGTAGTAAATATTGCCAGAACAAGAAACAGTTATGAGTGTTATTAAAATTAAACGGACCGGAAAAGCTGCTAGAGGGAGCGCCTCTCGTCAACCAATGGGGGCCACAGACTTTACCACAGATGAATATTTTAACAGCAATCATTATTTCAGTTTCATTACGATACTACCAACAATCATGTACCGTTTTATGGCACCTAATATAACTATTTATGTTATGTCTTTAAACAACAGATTTCGTGCTTTTATTTCTCATCGAGAACTTCTAGCACAGTATAGTGGTTATTTTAAATCATTACAAAATTGTGAAACAAATAAAGTTTTTCTTCCTAACATCACTGATGATACTTTTTCAATTATATTGTCATATATTTATACAGGAGTTCTTAAAATAAACAATGAAAATATACATTCTGTTCTTTTAGCTACACACACTCTTCACATGCCACAAGCATCAGATATGTGTCGACAATTTTTAGTAACTCAAGACCAAAATATAATAAAACCCATTGCAAAACTACCATCATTTGTAGATGCATCCGTAATACAACAGCCAAATGAAAATAGAACACTAAAAATATCAGAAGAATCAAATTTCAAGCCACCAATTCGCAAAGAAAATATAATTTTGGATATAGCAAGTTGTGATGGACCAGTTCAGTTTTATAGAGTTCTTAATGAAAACTACAAAGGCGATGAAAGGAGATCAACACCAAAACAATCATATAACTGTGAATATTGCAATCATCCATTCAAAAGTAAGTACTGTTATGAAAAACATATTAATAGACACTTAAATATAAATTTGATAGATGATAAATCGGATAAAAAAAATAATTCTTCAATTCAATACTATCCGTGCAGACAATGTGGATCAAAATTTCCAAGTTACTATTTTGTTCACAAACATAAAAAATATTGTAAAATAAATATGTTGTAATTTTTTTTTTTAATAAAAAAATATTTATCAAAAGTAATTAATATTTATAGTATTAACTTAAAATCAAAAAACATGACTTACGTTGAGAATCCATTAATTCTTCGTCAGTCGTACTTGTATTTTCTCCTTTTAATTTATCATCTTTCCGTCTTTCTTTCTTTTTGGATTCAGGTTTTAATTCACTAAAAATGATCATTGATGTATATTAATAAAGTATACAAGGAAAAGAATATAATGATAACTTAAATTTGATAAATATAATTGTAGGGTAGTATACAAAAAACTGAGAAGTGTTATTAATAAATATTATTATTATTATTTTTTTTTTATTCTAATAACGCTTAAATGAATTATATTGTTGTAGAATTCAAAATTTTATCAATGCTATTGTATTTACAAAATATTTTTTTTTATTTTATAGTTATAAGAATATAACTAATGTATTCAAAATTATTATGTAAGAAGAAAATATGTAATCATTATTGATGAACTTGTTATATTTAATTAATTTATTAATCATATTGTAGTGATAAATCATAATACAATATACTATTATCATAAAAAAACAACCCTACGGATTTCACTCATTGATTATTTCAAACCATATAATGTTCCTTTTTTTATTAGTTATTATATAAAATGTAATATTTTACATTTTTACTCACAAAAGTTTGATATACAACAATCACCCAAAAGTCCAAAAAAATAATAGAAAATTTGAGGTGACCAATAAGAAGTTCTATTATACATAGTAGTCTATCCATTATTTAATAGTTAAAATGAAAACATTAAATGATCTTATCAAGTAATACTGGTCATTTTTTAACATAACATTAATTGTATTTACCTTGTGTGTGACGTAACAGATGTCTGTATCAAATTTTTAACAGATTCATTACTTTGATCTTTATTTGTTAGTGAATTTTCAGTTTCATTATTAGCACCTTGTTCAGTAGCAACTTCTACTTCGACAGATGCTGGAGTCTCTTCATTTTCAGGTATTGCATTTTGAGCCGCTGAAATTTGTGCTAAATTTGATGATGCTGCTTCACTGCCCTGACGCTCTCGTTGGAGTCTAGTTGTAACACCGATAGAAGTTGAATTTAAAATATCCAATGAATTCAATGAACTATTAGCAGGTGTTCGATTTTGAGCAGTACGACGTCTTGCTTGCCATTTAGCTTTGCCTACAAAATTCAATTATTTTTTAAGTTTAATTAGATTGTACCAGGTTCAATATTAATGCTTACGTAATAATCTTTTGTACTCCTCTTTGGGCTTGCTTAAATAATAATATTGTACGCAATCAGATGGACATTTTTTATCCAGATAAGACGCTATTGCACCAAAATTTTTGGGATGAGCAATAAAACGATCTTTAAACACTTCTTTTTCTTGCTGTGTCCAAATATTGACATACTTTCTCTCATTATACTCTGTTTTATAATCCAACACAAGTCCATTGTTGTTCAAGTAAGTTAAATGTCGTTCATGAGGGTCTAACATAAGTGGTGGTATAACTGCATAAGACCTCATTTTTTTGTCTTCCATCTAAATATAATCATTAAATGTCATTATTTAGTACTTTCAGTACTTTTTTGGTTATCGAATATCACAACTACATGATTATGTGGAAGATTACAGCCAGTTATCACTATTCGGTTGTTGTAACTACCATACCTGATCACCGTAATTATTTTATTAAAAAGTAATATAATGCTTTTAATTACACGACATGGATTTATAAAAAAATTTAGTTTAAAAACTTTAAATTTAACTGTTAATTATGATTGTAATACAATATTATGTCATATTGATAATAACTAATGTAAAATGGCAGAAATAACAAAAAAAAATAAAATAAAATAAATTATACTCAGTTCAAGATAAGAACAGACCTCGGCGGCGACCAGTTTTCATTGGAGGTGGTCAGATGCATTGCTAGACGCTACCCCCACCAAGTTGATGCACGAGACCAGTGCTTTGGAACAAAGCCATGCCCATGAGCAAAAGCCAGATACCAAGTTCTGTTCTTATCTTGAACAGAGTATAGTATAAAATCAAATATATTAAAGAAATATAGAAACTTGATAATGAACCTCTAGGTGGATTATTCAATCTTAACGTTTTAAGGTTAATTCTAATAAATGGAACAATGTGAGTTTAATGTTACATAAACATAACAAAATAAGTATCAAGATGTTTAACGAGCAGTTTTTGCGTAGTTGCGATAACCAAATTTAGATAATCAGTAAATCAAAAATAAACACAATAATTGAAAAGTACTGAATTAATTGGTAAAATAGTAAATTTACTTTACTAAAAATTAGTTAAAATTATTTTTCTTTTTTAGAAATTACCTCCTGTTCTTGTAAACCATCCATGATCTCTTCTAAATCTGCTTCACTTTTTATACGAGCACCCACTCTATTAAATCTTTCTTTATCTTCACGTGCTTTTCTTAACTCAGGGAATACTTTTTCAAATAGTTCTCTATGTTTTGCTTCTTTCGCTTTTCGTTTTTGAGAGCTTTCAACTTTTTCAACTCTACGTATCCAATCCTTATACAGCTTAGAATAAATTTCAGTAATTTCATTTTTCTTTTGTAGTTGTTCCATTTTCTTTTTCCTCAGATGTTCCAATAATGTGGATTTAAATAATGAATACCTAACAATAAAATGATTATTATCTGTCATACAAATGAATCTATTTCACTCTGTTAATTGTAATATTGAGTGAATTGACCTAATATCTAACTGAAAATTAAGTATAGGGTCTAGGGCCCCACAATATAGGCTTTATACATTTTATTTACTAATAATAAGCATATACAAATTTATAAAAAAATAATGTATGAAATATGATCATAACTCCCTTTAAAATTAAATTATGATAAAAATTCTGCATACCTTAAAATTAACTTACAAAGTTAATTTATTTTGATATTAAAAATAGAGTTAATTGGATTTTTCTGAACATGAAATTTGATATGTTATGCGTTAGTATGACAACACATGCAGACTTGACAACATGTAAAAGAAGTCTCCACCAGCATGTGCTGTTCTGTCTTACAACATATCAAATCTTCGTAACGGATTCCTATTACAGATTATTTATAAATAATATGATGGCAAATTTACAAATTATCGAATTTGTAAAAGAGAATATAGACCGCAGTGTACGAGCGAAGTCTCCTATTTTCATATTTATATTTTTTTCTAAAAATAATAATTATAAATATTTAAATAATTTACTATATAATTTAAGTTAATAATAAATTTGCATTTAGCAAAACCAATTTTATTTAGTTAGCTTTAATCTTGTGAATTGACATGTAACAAACCTATAGATAAGAACATTAAGTTCTAAAATTGCTTATAAATTATATAACATTCAATTCACTTAATATTAAAGGCAACAGAAAATATGTTATGATGAATGTAAAGTTTGTGAAGCACGTCATAACAAATTCTGGTGTAACATCTTAACCCAAGTTAAAATTTATCAATATACATATATAACCTCATTTAAAAAAACTGCATTCATTAATTATATTTTGTGCATTTTTTTTTGGACAATATAATATTGTAATATTATATATAAACAAATTAAATTTTTATCAAGATTTTAAATGAATACTATCACTTAATTATTTAACTATAATATTAAACAATATTCTTACTTTCTTCTGTTCTCGTGATAAACATCAGCATCTGATGGTTGATTATACAAAGGCTGCAAACCGATAACAAACAATACATTTAAAAAAACTAGAAAAAATAATATTTATTTTGAGACTGCCACATTAGAATTTGTTTATTTTAAGTGTAATATATACATATATATTATAAAATAAAAAAATAATCAATTATCATTTTACAATATGTATATGAAAAAGTATTAATTAAAAAATAAAAATGGAGTAAAATTGGTATATGCTTTAAAAGTAAATTTTATTTTTTGTTAAAAAGTATAAAAAATAATCAAATAAAAATATACTTACAAGATCAGTTTTATTGGCAAATTTTTCAAGGCTCATTCTTGATTCTAATGCTTTTTTCTAAAATATAATTTAAAAAACATATATTTATTATATATTTTAAAAATTTAATAATAAAATTGTGCTTTTAAGTTTTTGTACTTTAGTATTTAAAACAAATTAAACACAATAGTTGAAACTACTTATGTTGATTAACTAATAATTAATGTTAAAAATGCCTCATCAAATAATATGTCCTCATAGTTTACAATGACTTCTAAGCCATTCTAAATAATAATTATAGTATTTCTATAATACTGATAAACGTAACATATTGTAACTTAAACTTAAGGTAATATTCAATACTGAACCTAGGTGATCCATCACATAGCTTAATTTGTTTTTCATATCCTTAATCTCAACAATTCGTACAACAAATTTAATATTTAATATAATGACTGTTGATTATTATTATTATGAATTTCATATATGATATCTTAACATTTAAATATACAGTAGTCCGGCTGATCCAGACAAGATGGGACCGGACTCTATCCGGATTATTAAAAATCTGGATTAAACGGAATGACTTTTTTTTTAATTTACTACTAAATATTTTTCCAATTTTCCAATCACCATATTTCAATATAAATATATCATGAAATGTTTCAATAATATGTCTTATGGTAGATAACAATGTACATTGACATGAATAATTTATATACATAAGTACTTAAGAACAAAATATAAATCGTCCGGATTATCCGGACATCAGGATTAGTGATGACCGGATCGGCAAGACTACTGTAATAAGAAAAAAAATCTATCTACACCCCAGGGTTATAAGTACTGAACATGTCTAAACACTCCTACCAAATAAGCAAATTAACATAATAAGACAAGCATATTTAAATGTAATATTACATAATACATATACTCTTCATTATGTTATCTACAAAATATAAATGACTATATTTAGAATTAAAATATTTTTGAATATTAAATTTAAGGTTTTATGTTATACTCAAGATACTTTAAGTAAATCTTAACTACCATTCA